GAGCGCGCGGTAGTCGCGGGAGGACGGGGACCCGGGAAGCCTGAGTCCGGTGCGCACGGGGAGCGGGTGGGACTCGGCATAGGGAGCAGCCATGGAGAGTTTGCTTGTAGAGGGCTGGATGGATGTTCGTGGGGTCAGAGGGACGAGTGTCTGTTCACGGTGGTTGCACGCGCGTTTAGGTGGGCGGTGGGTAGTGGATATTCATGGTGGATGGACAGAGGCACGGATGGAGGGTTGGCTGTTTGTGGTGAATGCAAGTATCCTGCCCTGGCACTGTGGAAATGCAGGTTTGAAATACAAAGAGAGGTTCTTTGAAGTGAGAAAGTGCCTTGCACCCAGCTCAGAACTCTTGCAACCCTCCAGGCTCAGTGTACATTTCTTCTTTAGCTAAGTGCATCGTTGTAGTTCTTTGTTCTTTCTCTGCTCCGTTTTCCCCAACTCCACTTTATTCGTGATTTTTGGAGCTTAGCGAATGGAGCACGGGGTGGAGGAGGTACAGAGGACTTCATTCTGGGGCGTGGGCTCCTGACTGCCAGGAGAAAAGTGGCCAGGACAAAGATGTTCCAGCCCCTCTGTAGGTGTTGGGTATCTAAAGATGAGAAGAGCCACCCCCAGCTCACACGGATGCCTAGTGCATATCTGATACGTACTTGGATGGGTAGAAGAAGCATTTAGTGCATTCCCGTTGAACCTAGTAGGGAAGTGATGTGTAGAAATGCTTGGTTTTCTGGGCCTCGTTTTTGTTTTTTAAAACGTCCTTATAAGCCTATTGCCGCCTTCTTCTATTTCACTGTTAAGTAAATAGACTCTCTAGAGTTTGCTCCCAAATCTGTCCTTGATTGAAGGTTACTGTTGTTCCTGAAGGTGGTATAGATGTGATAAGGTTATTATTATTTTTACTTTTTGTTGTTTTGCTTTGTTTTGTAGTTCAGGCTGGCCCTGAATTCACTGTGTAGCCCAGGTTAGCCTCAAACTCGTGGTGATCCTCCTGCTTCTGCCTCCTGAGCGCTGGGATTACAGGAGTGTGCTGCTGTGCCTGGCATGACAGGATGATTCTTGTTGTGCCTGGCATATTTAATTACCTCCCTGAGCTATGAGAGTTGTGAAAAATATATGACAAGCTCCTTAGAACAATGGGTAGTCTCTACCTAGGCTGGATATGCTGCTTTTATAAATGTGCTAGATTGTTAATTTATTTCAACATGATGTGATAGTTTTCATGGTATAAGTGCTATACTTTTCCTAAGTTAAATTTATTGCTAAGTGCTTTAGTCTTTGGAATACTACTGCAGGTGGACTTGCTTTTAATTTCATTTTGGATTGCTTATTGCTAGTATATAAGAATACAACCGATTTTTGTATGCTGATCTTTGATCCTGCAACTATGCTTGATGTATTAACTGTAATACATATTCTTCAGGATGTGTCACATGTGAGATCATGCTGTCTGAATAGATGATAGTTTTACTTTTTCCAGTGTCCATGCATGTCTCTCTCACCTGTGTAATTTCCCTGGTTAGTGCTTCTGTAACATGATCGTTTTGGTCCTGATTTACAGCAAAAGGACTAGGTTGCATTATTGTGATGTTAGCTGCTTGATTTTTGTAGACGTTGTTTTTCCCCTTGGTGCAGGGGATTGAACCCAGGTCCTCACAAAGGCCAGGCAGGTGCTTTGCCACAACCCTTTTCTTTAGTTTTGTTTCTTCTGTTTTCTTTTGTATCTGCTGAGTTGCCTAGGCTGGCCTCAGATGTGAGACCCTTCTGCCTCGCTGGGAGCCACATGCCTAGCTCGTACATGCTTTTTTTTTTTCTTTTTTCTGAGACAGGGTCTCACTATGTAGTTGAGACTGACCTGAACTCACTATGTAGCCCAGGCTGGTCTCGAACTCAAAGCGATCCTCCTGCCTCCGCCTCTCAAGTGCTGGGAGTACAGCCGTGCACCACCATGAGGCCTATGAGGATAATGTAAACAACAGTGCACTTCGAGTAACAGCACTCGCATGGTCTAGAAACATGTGAACTGTTAAAACAGATTCAAGGTGAATAGAAATTCTGAAAAGATCTAAAACAGAGTTTGAATCTGTTTTCCTACATCATTTTTAAATTATCCTTGGTATGATATTTTGGTTTGGTGTTTAGATCTTGAGCCACCCTGTGTTCCTAGGATAAATCCTACTTGGTTACCATGTATATCCTTTGAATATGCTGTTGGATGTAATTTGCTAATTACATTATTATTGTTGTTGCTGTTGTTGTTATTGTTTTTTTGAGACAGAGTCTAGCCATGTAGTGCATGCTAGTCTTGAACTCACTATGTAGCCCAGGCTGGCCTTGAACTCATGCCAATCCTCCTGTCTCAGCCTCCTGAGTGCTGGGATAACAGGTGTGCACCACCAATGCTGGCTATTATTGTTTTTTTGGACAAGGTCTTGCTGTATAGTCCAGATTGGCCTTGAACTCACTATGTAGTCCAGTCTGGTCCTGGACTCACAGAGATCCTCCTGCCTCAGCCTCCCAAGTATTGAGATTGCAGGGGTGAACAACCACTTCTGGCTGCTAACTTTTTAAAGTGAGTTTTGCTCCTGTATTCATGATAGATATTGGTCTGTAGTTTTCTTAGGATGTTTTGATCTGGCCTTAGTGTTAGAGTCATGCTGGCATCATAGAACGAGTTAGGAAGTATATGTTTTGCCACTTCAGTTTTTTTTGCACAGTTCAAGGCAGTAGGTGTTAATGGTTCTTTAAGCTTTTTGTTTTTGGTTTTTTGAGACAGGATCTCACTATATAGTTGAGACTGACCTGGAGCTCACTATGTAGCCCAGGCTGGTCTCAAACTCACAGTGAGCCTCCTGCCTCAGCCTCCCGAGTGCTAGGATTACAGGCATGTGACACCACGCCCAGCTCTTTAAGCTTTTGGTAGGGTTTGATGAGGAAGCCATCTAGTCCTGGGCTTTTCTTTGCTGAAAGCTTTCCCATTACTGAACAGATTCAAACTCTGTTTTAGATCTTTTCAGAATTTCTGTTCATCTTGAATCTGTTTTAACAGTTCACATGTTTCTAGACCATGTGAGTGCTGTACCTTGCAGTGCACTGTTGTTTACAGTATCCTCATAGGCCTCGCTGTTTCTGTATGGCCAGGTGATGGCCCTGTTTATCATCCCTAATTTCAGTCCTTTCAGTTTTCTGCTTTTTTTCTCAGTCAGTCTGGCTAAATCTTGTCAGTGTTGCTTTCAAAACACATTACTGGTTTCACTGATTCTCTCCACTGCTTTTGATTTCTGTTTCATTGATCTCTGCTCTAATCCTTATTATTTTCTTCTTTCTGCTTATTTTGGGTTATTTCAGAGTCCTTAGGTAAAGGATTAGGGTACTGATTTGAGCCTCCCCCTCTGCCCCCCTTCTCCCCCTCCCTTCCCTTTCCCTTGTGTTGGGGATTGAACCCAGGGCTTATGCACTGAGCTAAGGCCTCAGACCTCTTTAAATCTTGGAGCAGGGTCTCACCAAGTTGCCCAGGCTGGGCTTGAACTTGTTATCCTCTTGCCTCAGCCTTGGGAGAGGTTTTTCTTGTTTAATGTAGATGTATGACACCCTTGGAATACTGCTTCCTTCGGATCCCCTAACTATTGGTGTGCCACGGCGTGTTTCATTTTCATTCCCCTCAAGATATGTTCAAATTTCCTTTGTGACTCCTTGGTTAACTCTGGGGTTATTTAAGTCTGTTTAATGTCCACATATTTATGGATCTTTCCGCTTTCTCTCTGTTCCTGATTTCTAGTCTCATTCCATTGCAGTCAGAGGCCGTATTTCGTGTGACTTCAGTCTCACTGAGGCTTTTGTGTCCACCTTGGTCCCCCTTGAGTCCGCGCGGGTGCCCCACTCTCCCTGCTCCGGCTGCTTGGGTCACGTGTGGTCCAGGGCTGTTGTCTTCTGACCCTCTGTGTGGTGCTCAGTTCCTTACCGAGGCGCGGGCTTTGGCTTTTGTGCTGGCCCTTTCTCCAGAGTCTTCTCCTTCCTAGATGCTTGTGTGCACCTGTTATTTTGTAACATCCTTCTTTGTCTCTTGTAACAGTTTTTGTTTGAAAGACTCAGCCTCCTATTAGCACAGCCTTCACCCTCTCTGGGTCAGTACCAGTAACTGTTGGAGGATTTGGTGCTAAAGGGGTGTCTTGTAGACCAAATAGATCTGCCTGGAGTGGCTGGGATTCCCGCCGTCCGTCTCCACATTGCTTGTTCCTGTCCGTCCTGTATGTTTTGTTCCTCAGTTCCTCCATTACTGTCTGCTTTTATGATTGATTTTATTTTTTCTTTCTTGTAACTATTTTGATTTTCTTCTTTTTCTCTTTACTTTTAAGCTTTTTTCCTTAGTGATTACCCAATAGGTGAAGGTTGACACCACTGAGCTAAATCCCTGGCCCAGTTGACATCTTCATTTATAACAGTGTAGTTTGAATTAATACTGATTTAATTAACTAACATTTATTTATATCCCATTCCCCCCTCAAGCCCCTCCCCTCCCTTTGTACAAAAGCTTAGTTTCTATTTTTTCCTCCTATTTTCACTTTTTTCTTGGTTTTGCCTCTCTCCCTCCCTCCTCCTTTGCTGCCCTGAACACTTTCTTCCCGTTTCCCAACATCCCTTGTATATTTCAGTCCTTGTTTCCGCTAATATCAATTTTCTTTAAATAGCGCACCAAAGTCTGTTCCGGTGTAGTTCCATCCTCTCCTGTCTTTATGTTACTGTCGCAGACTACAGCTTCTTACGCTGTCTGCGTGAGGACACAGATTTATATTGTTTTGTCCTGTGTATCCAACTGAGAAAGGAAAGGAGTTGCTAACTTGAGATATGTTACTACTGTCCTTTATACTTACTGTCCACTTCTTATTATCTTTTTTTTTTTTTTTTTTTTTTTACCAGGGAGCAAACTTGGGGCAAGGAAGGCAGCATGGGGCTACTGGGCTAAAGTCCCAGCCCTGACCCCTTTTTTTTTTTTTTTTTTTTGGTACCGGGGATCGAACTCAGGTCCTTGCGCTTGTAAGGCAGGCGGTGGAACCACTGAGCTAAATCCCCGGACCCTTGACCACTTATTTTTGCTGGTGGTATTTCTTTATGGGATTCAAGTAATAATCTGTTGTCCTTTTATAAGTGCTTATACTTTTTTTTTTGGTACCAGGGATCGAACTTGGGTCCTTGCACTTGTGAGGCAGGCGGTGGAACCACTGAGCTATATCCCTGGCCCCTGTTGTCCTTTTTGTTTCAGCCCGAAGGGTTCCCTTTAGTGTTTTTTGTAGGACAGACCTAGTCACCACCAATTTTGAGCTTTTTTTCTTTCTTTATTTCGTGTGTGTGTGTGTGTGTGTGTGTGTGTGTGTGTGTGTGTGTGTTGAGACAGGGTCTTGTTATGCAGTTATGCAGTTCAGGTTAGTCTTGAATCACAATGTATCTGGCCTTGAACACATGGTGATCTTCCTGCCTCAGCCTCCCAAGTGCTGGGATTATAAGTGTTTGCCACCACTCTTAGCTCGCTTTTTCTTTTGCTGACAATATATTCATTTATTTATTTTTTGAGACAGGGTCTCACTACGTAGTTCAGACTGCCCTGGAACTCACTATGTATCCCAGGCTGGTCTCGAACTTGCAGCAATCTTCCTGCCTCAGCCTCCCGAGTGCTGGGATTACAGGTGTGTACCACCACACCTGACATTGCTGACAGTATTTTAATTTTTCCACCTTTGTTTCTGTTGAGAACGTCATATAACATGAAATAATCATTTAGGGTGGTGGAGAGGGCGGTGTTTGGTACGTGTACAGCCACCACCCCTGGCCGGTTCCGAGACAACTTCATGCCCGCAGCGTAGCCCCACCAGCCTGCGTCTTCATTGGCATTTCCTCGGTCAGGAACATGGCTGAAGAGGGTTGGATGGTGTGGCCCTGCGTGTGCTTTTCTTCACTTAGGGCTGTGTTTGCACCCACCTCACTGGCACTGTGCCCAGCACCCTTGCGTGCAGGCAGGCTCCTCCCATTGAGCCACAATCCTCACACGTGCTGGTGTGACATTTGGGGTTTGCAAGTATTTTTTCTTCCATCCTGTAGACTGTTTCTCACTTTCTTAAAAATGTCCTTGGTTTCACACTGAGGAAGTCCAGTTTCTCCTGTTGCTACTGGGTGCATCATATCAAGGCCTGACTCTGTCCCCGACTCTGGATTGTTTGCCTGGCTGCCGTCAAGGGTTTGAGAAAAGTCCACAGGATGGAGACCTGAGCGAGTTCACAGTTTGTCCCCGGGAGGGCAGCGGGTCCATATCCGGGAGTGCATGGGAGCCTTAGCTTGAGGGAGGGCTGTGGGTTTAGCTTCAGCCAGGCCCTGGCCCACCATCCACAGAAATGTCGAGCATCTGGTCCTGTTGAAATTTCCTTAGTGCCAGCTGTTCCTCTCAGCACAAGAAAATTGGACAAATAGCTTGGCCTTATAAGTCCTTATTTTTGAAGTACTGGGAACTAGGTACAGGAGCTTTCTGCCGATGGGCTACCTCCCTGGACCTTTTTATTTTTTGAGACAGGGTCTTGCTTAGTTACCAGGCTGACTTTGAACTTGTGATCCTCCTGCCTCAGCCTCTTGAGTTCTCACATTATATTATTCAAAATGCTTGAGTTATCTGGAAGTAGCTGGGATTACAGGCATGAACCACAGTGTCTGGCTAGAAGCCTGGATTTTAAAGCTGCATTTCAACTTCTCAGCTTCAGTCTCCTCAATCTTTGAAGTGTAGTTTTGTTGGGTATAAAACCCTTCGTCGACAGTCTTACTTTTAGCACCTAAAATGTCACCCACAATGCCTTCTACCTTCTGACCTCCGCGGCTTTTCATACTAGCTGCTGTGACCCCTTGTATGGGACACTTCACCTGACTTTTATTGCTTTTGAAGTTGTTTTGCTTTGATAGGTTGATAATGGTGTTTTAGGGATGCGGATCTCTTTAAGTTTATCCAACTTGGCATGCATTCAACTTCTTGGATATGTAGATTCATGCTTTTTTCATCAGAGTGTTTCAGTCAGTGTTTCTTCAGATACTCTTTCCACCTTCTTCTGGGGCTGTTGTAAACATATACTGGTGTACTGAATGGTATCCTTGATTTTTTTTTTTTTTTACAAGTCTTTTTAGGCTCTGCTCACTCTTCTCCATTCTGTTCTCTTTCTATTCTTTGGGCTGTGTCTTCCAAATTGACTTAGGTTCAAGTTTCCTGATGCTTTCTCTTCCTACTCAGATCTTCTGTTGAGGCCCCTCTAGTGCCATTTTCCATTTCAGTCACTATACTTTTCAGTACTGTATTTCTGCCTGCTTCAGGGGTAGCGTCTAGCTAGGCTTTATCCTATCAATGGTCTCTACTTCCTTGTTTCTGTTTTGTTTTGTTTTATTTTGAGACAGAGTCTTGTTTATTCTAGGCTGGCCTTGAACTCACTATGTAGCCTAGGTCAGGCTTGAACTCACAAGTGATTCTTCTGCCTCAGCCTCCAGACTGCTGGGTTATAGGTATGGGCCAACCATGCCTGCTCCTTGTTTATTTGCTTATATTTTCATGTTTTTGAGACAGGGCCTCACTGTGTAGTTCAGACTGGCCTTGGACTCACTGTGTGGCCCAGGCTGGCCTCAAACTGGCAGTGCTTCTTAATTTTGTTATTCTTTTGGTTTGTTTTGCAATAGGGTCTTCCTACATGGAGTCCGGCCTCAAATTCATGATTGTCCTGCTTCAGCCTCCCTCGTTCTGGGATTATAGGGATACGCTTGGCTGCATCCCTTCTAGTTTTGAGGGATGACTTGTTACATTGTAATGTTCAAAATACTCAGTTAAGAAATCACATTCTGCCTCCTCCCCTGGATTTGTGGTTGCTGTTTGTGGTAGTAGTTGTTTAGTGACTTCTGAACTAATTTTGTGAAGTCTGTAATCTGTGATATGTGGGCCCTGAGCTTTCTTTCCTGCTACATTGCAGTCAGATTTCCTCCCAGCCCCCCATGGCAGTGCAGATGGGCTGTGTGTGTGTGTTGGGGACACTTTGAGCAGTAGCCCTGCCTGTCCCTAACTGTGCTGTGCAGAGGCTGAGGCTCACAAGAGAGCACACTCAGGGCCTTCTCAACCTGGGCAGCTTCTACTGTTGCAAAACAGCCAACAGGTGGCTGGGATGCAGCCGAGTGTGATGGCTCTGGCTTCGATTCCCAGTGCCAGAAACAAATCAAAACAAAACACAGGCAAAGAGCCAGGCACCTCCATTCTGCCTGACTGAAGCCCGCCCTGCCCCTCTGGGGGCCGGCGCTGAGACGGGGGTTCTTCCAGGTGGTGTTGGGCCGGCAGTGGGTGGGCAGGGAGGGGAGGTCGGCAGGAAGGGAGGGCACAGGGCTTCTGCCTTCTTTCTGAGGTCCAGCGGGTGTGCCTGGGTCCTGCGGCTCGCAGTCCCCAGCCCCTGGGGGCTTCTGCCCACTCCCTCTGCCCGGTGCCCCGTGCGCTGCCTCTCACCCTGTTGTGTGATCTGCAGACTCTGATTCTGGGTCCGGGTCCGAGTCCGACTCCGAGCAGGAGAACGCGGCGTCGGGCAGCAACGCCTCCGGAAGCGACAGTGATCAGGACGACGCGGTTGACTCGGGGCTGCCGAGGAACAAGGAGCTGTTCGGTGAGGACAGCGAGGAGGACGAGGGGGCGTCGCGCCACAGCGGCAGCGAGAACCCCTCCGAGCGATCCGACCACCGATCGGAGACCTCCGGGCGCTCAGAGCGGGAGGACGACGGCTCCGGCTCCGATGTGGACCAGCGCAGCGGCTCGGATGGCCGGCCCGAGGGGGACGAGGACGAGGCTGAGGGCGAGGGCCCCGGCTCTGAAGGCTCGGAGAAGGCTCCCTCGGAAGACAAGTGGGGCGGAGACAAGAGCGACCAGTCCGGCGACGAGAAGACGCAGAACTCGGACGAGGACGAGCGGGCCCCGGCCTCCGACGAGGACGACGACGAGAAGACGCACAACTCGGACGAGGACGACCGGCCCGCGCTCTCCGATGAGGAGCGGCCGCCACTGTCCGAGGAGGAGAAGCAGAACTCGGACGAGGACGAGCGGCCGCCGGGCTCCGAGGAGGACAAAGCCCAGAACTCTGACGACGAGCGGCCGCAGGCCTCCGACGAGGAGGAGGAGCAGGACCGCAAGTCAGGTAGGCGCGGCCGCGTCCCTTTCCTTCCCCCGCCTCTCCAGCCCTCCGTTTCGCCTGCGCTCACCCCTCATTCGGCTGCTTTTCAACCCAGCTCGTCTTAGTCACCTTGTCCTTGCTGAGATCCAGTTCCCAGCACCCGCAGCAGAAGCAGGAGAGGTTTTCTTTGGCTCACCGTTCAGAGGGTTCAGTCCACGGTCAGCCAGCTCCAGGGCGGACAGCATGGCTGAAGAGCTGCTCACGGCCTGGCAGGGAGGTCGTGGGAGGAGCTGGGGAGGGGGATGGACCCTTCCCGGCCTCACCCCGGGGACCCCCCGCCCCACAAGCCCGGCCTGCTAATAGTAAGTTGGCCCAGGAACCTCCTGTCTGAGTGCGTGAAGCCCTTGGGAACATCTAGAGCTGAACCACAGCACTCCTTTTAGTCACTTCCCTGTTTGTACCTGATGGTGGGTCAGAGGGAACAGTGAAAGACAGGTTTAGAGAGCTGTGTGGTGCCAGAGGTGCTGGATAAAGACTTGAGTTGGCTCCATTTCCACAGCTGCCTCGAAAGCACAGCTCACGGCTCGTGAGAACAGCCCTTCCTGGAGGGAGACAGGCCTTTGGGTGCCCCGGGGGAGCCTGAGATGTGGGTGCTGGGTCCAGCTTGGCGTCTGCATCCAGAGGTGATCAGGCGCCCAGAAAAACTGATCTCATTCACAGGAAATGAACGTGTGTGATCGAATCGCACAGTTCTTGGCCTTTTCCTCACTGGTTACTGTGCTTTTCTGGGGCCAGTGGGGGCCAGAAAGGCGGCTGCATGATGCCAGGCCTGGGTCAGGCCCCTGCCCTGCAGACTGGGATGTGCGTGTCCCTCTGGCCGTGGGTCCTGTGTGCCTGGCCCACTTTCCGTAACAGTCAGCTCTGTTCTGCTGCGCAGTCCGCAGGAGACAGTAGACGCAGACTCCAGGTTCTTGGTGCTGTACAACAGTCACCCTGGTCAGGGGAGTCCCGGAAGTGACGCTCACATGCTCATTTCTGAGGGTTACGCCCGGTCCTGCCTCCTCAGGGACACTGACCCCCAGGACAGGGTCAGAGCCACACATGACCTTGTCAGGAGAGGGGGGCGGACTACGGCCTGCAGTGAGTGCTTGACGCCTGTTCAGAGCAGGGTCATTTTTGCCTAGACTGGAAAATCCAGGGCCACACAGCACTTCCCAGGCGAGAGCGAGCGAACTAGTTCAGGATTGGAGTTGCAGTGGGGAACCTGGTAACTGGTCACTCTTTTTAATCCTGAGCTCGCTATTAGACTTTCCAGAGGTTTTAGATAAATGGTTGTACCATCCAGAAGTCATGATACAGCTTTTTCCTTTCCAAAAGTTTCGCCTTTTTTATTTATAATAGTCATATAAGTTTGACCCTAGGTTTCAGTACCGATTTTCACATTTCCTCCAAGGATTTCTGCTGACAGCTGTCAGTGTTCCTTTTTTAAATTTATTTTTTGGAAAATTAATGTCAAGAGGGATAGCCAGGGATTTAGCTTAGTGGCACCCACAACTGCCTTACAAGTGCAAGGTGCTGAGTTCAATCCCCGGTACTGGAAAGTTAATGTCCAGTGAAGTTGACTTTGTGTGGTGTGGAAGATCAAATTGAGGGTTTTATTTATGCTAAGCCAGTGCCTAGCCCTTTATTTATTTTTTTTTTGTCTGTGTGTATAGGTTTTTTTTTTTTTTTTGCTTGTTTTAGTTTTTGGAAACAAGTCTCACTGTGTGATCCAGGTGGGTCTGGAACTCATTCCTCCCTCAGCCTTCCCAGCCTGTAATCCTGTTGGGATTACAGGCATGCACCATCACACCCAGCCTGTGAGTATGTAGTTTTAGTACTGTTAACATATACAGTTTTTTTGGTTTTATTGTGGGGTTTTATTTTGTTTCTTACAGTACAGGGGATTGAAGTTGGGGCCTCTGCAGTGAGCTACATCTCTATCCCTTTGTATTTTTTGAGCTAGGATCTCACTAGTCGCTCAGTTGCCCAGGCTGGGCTTGAACTTGCAGACCTCCTGCTGTATTCCCGGAGTGCGGGGTCGATAAGCATTGCCACTGTTCTCAGCTCAGATGTGAAAATTTGCGTGACTACCACCAGTCAGGACCGAGAACACCTGTTGCCTTGACAACTAGCTCCCTCTCCCACCTGCCCCTCTGCACCATGCCATACTTGAGCCCTTAAGTTGCTGGGCGCCTTCCCTTGGCGTGATGGGGCGGTGCATGTGTGAGGGGCTCTGTCCCGGCCGCTGCTGGCCAGTGTGGCATCAGGAAGCTGCCATGGTCTGCCTGTCCCTGTGTCACTTTAAAACAGGAAATTCAGTTGATGCCGCTGTGATCACATGCAGCTTCTAACTCTGCTCCCGTAGAATCCGCGAGAGGCAGCGATAGTGAAGACGAAGTCTTGCGGATGAAACGCAAGAATGCCATCGCGTCAGATTCCGAAGGGGACAGCGACACCGAGCTCCCCAAAGGTACCTGTTGTTTCCTGCTGTACGAATGTTAGGTAGTTGCTGAGACAAAGTACCCGACACCCAGAGTCGAAGGGGGAAGGTCTGGCTCAGTCCGCAGAAGTTTCAGTCCATCATCAGCTGGCTCTGGGGCAGCTTTGTGGAGCTCATCCTTTGTGGCCTCAGAAGAAGCAAAAGCAACAAGGGCCTCACCCAGCATCTTCCACCCCTTTGATCTCATTCAGACAGCATGGGCAGGCAGAACTCACGCCCTTAATCCTAATGCCCTTGGGTCCAGCATTGCACCTTGAATCAGTCACATACTCTAGGTTCAGCCACCTTTGAAAAACCGTGAGGCAAGGCCTGGGATTTGGCTCAGTGGCACTGTGCCTACCTCGCAGGTGCAAGGTCCTGAGTTTGATTCCTTGGTACTGGGGAAAAAAAGCATGAGGCTTTGGGGAGATGTCGAAACAAGCTATGGGTGCATTCCCTGTCCAGGGAGACGGATGAGGCGCAGGTGCCTTGCTTAGCGAGAGCACAGCTCTTCTCAGGTGGGAATGGAAGTGACCCTGTCTGTCAGCAGCTTGAATCAGGATTGCCCCAGAGCCCCTTGTTCTTAACAGTTAAATGTCAAATTAAAAATAGACTCCGGCTGGCGCATGACTGTAATCCCAGCACTCAGGAGGCCGAGGCGGGAGGATTGTGAGTTCAAGGCTAGCTTGTCTCAGAAAAAACAAAACAGGATGGAAGCTGTGTGCCCGCATGTGTTGCCTGTCGCCGGGCTGCCCCTGCTTTTGGGGACATGGCCTCCACGCAGGCTCTGAGAGTCGGCATCTCGGTGTTAACCCCATGCGTCTCCCTCCTGTTCGGAAGACAACAGTGGCACCATGGACCTGTTTGGAGGTGCAGATGACATTTCCTCAGGGAGTGAGGGGGAGGATAAGCCACCCACGCCGGGACAGCCCGTGGTGAGTGACCTGGGGGAGTGCAGGGGGTGCCATTCCGCGCTAAGGTCCTGGGCTTCATCCCCTGCACCCCAAGACAGTAAAGCAGGGGCAGAAGCAGAAGCAGAGGGTCTCTTCCCCCAGGAGCCGGACGTTGATAAGGGACTACATCGGGAAAGCCCAGCCAGCAGGTGGTTTCTCAGTCTGTGGGAAGCGCCTGGCCTGGGGGAGTAGAAGCAGCTTCCCAGGGCAGTCTGTGGGGCAGGGACTCCATGACCACTGGCTTAGGAAGTGGACGTGGGGGTGCTGTCGCGTGCCCACCTCCGATCTCAGGTGTCATCTGGTGATTCCTGGCCCGGGTGCCCTTCCCCCGTGGGACCAGGGCCCCGGTGTGTGCCAAGGACTACGATAAATTCACACCCTGTCCTGCTCTGTGCTTCCTGGGAAGCAGGATGAGACAGAGGAACAACCAGGCCACTGCGGAGGCCCAGGGCTCTGAGCTCCTGTGGCCGGTGGCCTCTTGGCAGGATGAGAACGGATTGCCTCAGGACCAGCAGGAGGAGGAGCCCATTCCTGAGACCAGAATAGAGGTGGAAATCCCCAAAGTGAACACTGACTTAGGAAATGACCTGTACTTCGTCAAACTGCCCAACTTCCTCAGTGTGGAGCCCAGGTGAGGGAAACCGGTTTTTACTGGATCTTGAATAGAAACAGGTATTTTTCTTACTTTACAGTGAGTTAAGATGACTAATAACAAAAATGGAAAATTCATTGTACATCTCTGAAAAAATATACATTGTGAGACAGGAAAAGTTTGGACTACTTATTTTTTTTTGGTATTGGGGACTGAACCCAGGACCTTGCACTTGCGAGGCAGGTGGCAGAACCACTGAGCTAAATCCCCAGCCCGGTTGGACTACTTATTATAAAGGAGGTGTTTGATCCTCATGATTCTCTCAGGGGCATGATCCTTTCTTGTGAATTGACAGAAGTCACAATTCTGTCGTCAAGACTTCTTTTTGTTTTGGTTTTTTGAGACAGGGTCTCATTATGTAGTTGAGACTGACCTGGAACTCACCGTGGAGCCCAGGCTGGCAGCAATCCCTACCTCAGCCTCCCGAGTGCTGGGATTACAGGCGTGTGCCACCACGCCCGGCAAGACTTCGTTTTAAGACACTGGGACCTGGTGTGGGGCCTTGCACATACCAGGCAAGTGCACTAGCACTGAGCGACATCCCCAGCTCTCTGAAGTGTTATTTTGAGACATCCTCACTATGTTGTCCTGGCGCACCTGAAAGTTGTGATCCTCCTGCCTCAGCCCAGGTAACTGGAATTACAGGTGTGTGTACCACACTGGCTTTTCCAGGCACTTAACTAGTGTAGCCCTAAAAAAAAGCTGCAGTTAGCCAGGCGTGATGGTGCACACCTGCAATCCCAGCATTCTGAGAAGCTGAGGCATAGGGAGCCCAAGTTCAAGCCCAGCCTGGGCAACTTAGTGAATTAGACCCTGCCTCAAACACACAGTTAAAAAAGGGCCGGGGGTGCAGCTCATTGTGAAGGCCCTGGGTTCAGTCCCCAGTCCCATAAAGAAAAACAAAACCCTGCAATTGAAAGGGGTGAACTTTGCCAGAGAAACAGATGTCCTCTCCTCTGCCACTGCTGTAGATGAGCTGTGGGCTTCGCATAATTAAACAGGGCTGGCAGGTGCTGTTCACTGAGCTGACATCGAGCTGTATGCGATGTAAGTGTCGATTCGGACAGCTGGAGCATAGCTGGCCTGCGGTCGGGAAGGCGCATAATCAAGAGTGTCCTGGAGTTTTGGCCTTGCTGGAACTTTATTTCAGGCTGTCTCTGGGAACACCACATCTTAAGGAGTTGCAGTAATTTGAATGCTGCTTGAAGCTGAGCCTGAAGATACACGGCCACTGTAGTTTTGGTTTTTTTTTGGTACCGGGGATTGAACTCGGGTCCTTGCACTTGCAAGGCAGGCAGCGGAACCACTGAGCCAAATCCCTGGCTCTATCATTGTAGTTTTTTAAATTCCATTTTAATTTTTCGATATGCTGGTTGTATATAAATAAGATACATCATTACCGAACAGTAAGAGTCTGTAAGTACGATTAATCATTTACTCTAAAAACCCTTTGTAGACCTTTTGATCCTCAGTACTATGAAGATGAATTTGAAGATGAAGAAATGTTGGATGAAGAAGGCAGAACCAGGTTAAAATTAAAGGTACCGTTCTGTGCTGTACTCCTTCTTTCATAAAGTAAAACCTTAGGACGCTACATGATACTTGAGCATTTGAAAATATTTCTTTTAAGTTTCCTCTTCTATTAACCAAACATTGTCTGCCTGCTCAGGATGTTTTTAAGGAAATGTAATCGATGAGAGCCTAACTTTACCTGAGCAGCACGGTGGGGCAGCGCCAGACACATTAGAAAACGGGAATCTATAAAAATGTCCCTTCTCTAATATTTTTTTCCTGTTATTTTTTTTTATGCTTTTTAAATTGGCAGTTGCTTCCTTCTGAGTAGTAAATGCTGTAGTTGTGTTAGGTGTCTAGAGCTACCTTCATTCCGGCTTTGGTGAAGTGTTGGCAACTTCCGAGGAGAGCATCTTTGGGGCTTTAATGTGCAGACGAATCACGCACAAAAGGAGAGTTTACTCCTGGTACCTAACACTGCTCTGTGGTCTGCCCGCCCTGTGTTATCCCGATGTCCCCTCGGCCCGAGAGCTCGGGTGTCCCAAGTCCCCACGATGGTCTCCCTGGTCTCCAGACTGCCAGGCTGGCGCTGCTCTACCCTGGGCTGAGGGTTCTGCAGGAGGAGATGGTGCCAGTGAGAAACTGGAGCAGCAGACTTTATAAATTCTCATGTCCTAAGGTTTTCTGTAAATTCTGTTTCCCAGTCGACCCCATATGTGATGTTACCATCTAGGGAAAGGCAGCCTCTGTCTGCCTCTGCCTCTGCCTCTCTGTCTCTCTGTCTCTCTGCCCCATCTCTCTCTCTCTGTCTCTGTCTCTCTTAATTCCCTGCCGTCCCTCAGGTGGTTGCCAGGATGCTGCTGCTGCTAACTTCTCGCAGTGAATGAGTAGAGGTTCCCGAGGGCCCACTGTGTTTTCAGTTCCATCCTGTGTCTGTCTGGTGTCTCCTTGCCATGCTGCTCAGATAGTTTGGCTCCCACCTTCCAAACCAGGGGTCTGATTTCTGTGGGACATTTCTTGAGCCTCACCAGTGTGGGAGCCCTGGCTGTGGGCTGGGTTTTCCGTCCCATGCGTGCTGCACTGTGCTCTGAGAGCACCGACCCCACACAGGCACTCCGTGCTAAGTTGTCCCTCAGGCCTCGGCTGGGTCTGGAGCATCCCAGGCCGGTAGCAGATTGGCGGGTCAGGCTCAGCTTCCTCTGGGTTCAGTGCTCAGAAATTCCCTGCAGCCTGTTCTTTTCCTGTTTTTGTTTTTTTGGTATGGGGATCGAACTCAGGACCTTGTATTGCCTCTGAGCTACATCCCGGCCCTTCCTGTTTTTAACTGTTCAGCATTTCTAGGTGGTTAAAGTGAGACGATTTTAACGTTTATTTTCCCGTCACGCTCTGCACGCGGTCATTCTGATAGTGTCCCTGAGAAGAAGAGACACGGAGGCAGCTAACCCGCTGTTTCTAAGGGGTCGGTATTTGAGCACAGGTAGAAAACACCATCCGATGGCGGACTCGCCGGGACGAAGAAGGCAGTGAGATTAAGGAGAGCAACGCGCGCATTGTCAAGTGGTCAGACGGCAGGTGAGCCCGGCTGCAGCGACCCGGAGGGGAGAGGGCGAGCTGTGCAGCAGAGGTGTGTTTGGGGCCCCTCTTTTTCTTTCTTCTACTTTTGGGGGGTACTGGGGACCAAACTCGGGTCCTTGCACTTGCAAGGCAGATGGCAGCACCACTGAGCTACGTCCCTGGCCCCGAACCTGGGCTCAAGCAGTCTTCCTGCCCCAGCTTCCCACGAAACTCGGGCCTGGGTTTAATCCTGAGTAGTGGGGCAAAAACAAAAGACTTTCTATCAGTCACTCCCTCTGGTTACCTAGAAACAAGAGAGGAATAATGGGCTAGATGCTGTCGTGCAGACCCGGGGGTCAGTGCACCAGCCGAGGCCCTGCCCGCCCCTCACAGCTGGGCGTTTAGGGACGCGGTCCTCTGGTGCGTGCCGTCCCCTCCTGAGTGAGGACAGGAGTGGGCCGGAGGTCGGAGGTGGAGCAGTGAGCTCAGACGACGGCGCTCTGTCCCTAGCATGTCCCTGCATCTGGGCAACGAGGTCTTCGACGTGTACAAAGCCCCTCTGCAGGGCGACCACAACCACCTCTTCATCAGGCAGGGCACCGGCCTGCAGGGACAGGCGGTCTTCAAGACGAAGCTGACCTTCAGGTAACTGCACAAAGCCTGTGCTCCTGTGGTCCCTGGGCCACTGTGTCAGGTGACCTGGGCTGCCTTGGGATCAGGCTGATGGCAGGGTCATGTAGGCCAGGGTCTGTCTGTCGGCTCCTCTGGTCACTGCACTACCACCATGTGGACAGTGTACAGTCAGCATGTCCCCTTGCAACGGAGTGGGTCTGCGGGACCTGGAGGCACCTGGCACTGTGGGGGCGCCCTGCGCTCTGCAGGGCAGGGAGGGCACTGCGTGCACTGTGGTCACAGCAGCCTGTGCTCGGGATAGCACTGGCCGTAGGGGACATGGTGCCGGTTGTGACTGGAGAGTGTCACGCTCACAGCCTGGCCCTTGGTCCGATGGCTTTGTTGACTCCTCTTTCTTCTGTGTGCTTCCCTAATCTGTGGGCCACAAAGATGCTCCTGTAGGCACCGAGGGCGGAGCTCGTGTCCTACAGAGCTGGAGCCCCTCTGAGCCACAGGCCCTGTGTTCCTGGGAGGTGCTCTGCCCTGTTAAGCCACCCTCACTGTTGCTTCTGTTTCTCAGTTTTCTTTTTACATGAATTTACTTTTATTCAGTGCTCCAAAAACACCTTTTGGTTTGTACATAAGCCGCCATGAAACAACTGGTTTCCTGATTAAAAAAAAAAAAAATTCTCTAAAATCTGCCATAGTTTAGAAGAAAGAAAAGGCACCAGGAAATAACATGGCCCATTTTCCCTTTACCTAGTGAGAGGACAGTGTCTGGGCTTGCAGCATGGATCCTACTCGCTGACCGTGTCTGCCCTGGTGACATGGAAGTGGCTGTTGGAATCTTTTTTTGTGACCTGGGTCTGAAGGCCACTCGTGTTTCGCAGTAGTGGGACACACTCTGCTCATTTCCACAGACCTCACTCTACAGACAGCGCCACGCACAGGAAGATGACCTTGTCACTGGCAGACAGATGCTCGAAGACACAGAAGATTAGGATCCTGCCGATGGCTGGCCGTGACCCTGAGTGCCAGCGCACGGAGATGATCAAGGTGGGTTACCAGGCTTTGCCAGGGCCTCCTGTATGCAGAGTGGCATCTGCAGGGCAGCTCAGCCGCCCTCATTTCCAGGAGTGGTTTCCCAGGCATTTGTCGGCTCCGAGCTGCATGGTGATGGTGGTCAGGTTCTCTCCCCTGGGGGAGCCCAGCACAAAACGGGATCGGGATGCTGAGCCTTCACACACTACTTCCTGGGTCACTACACCACTGCCCTTGGTTAGAGTCAGTATCAAAAGCAGTGGGAGTGCTGAGTTGGGCCAGTGGAGAGCCTGTGTGGACAGCACAGTGCAGGTTGTGCACTGGGTGCGGCTCTGTTCTTTCTCTGGTGCCGGAGATGGAGGTCAGAGCGTAACACCTGCCGGTGACTTTTCAGACGGCACTCGACTCTTCCCTGGGCCCGATGGAGGGGTGCTGTCCCCCACCTCCCCGCTGGCTTGCGGCTGGGGCCTGCCCGGAGGTGGATTTCCCTCAGAGCAGAGCAGCAGGGCAGACCCTGCGGGCCTTACCCATCGCCCGGGCCTCTGGTTTGCCGGCAGCTAGGTCCCAGGTGCCGGGCACCCGCTACGGAGCCAGGGTCCCCACCCCTCTGAGCCCCCCAGCTCTCTGGAATGCAGGCGTGGGGCCGGGGCGCTCTGGGCCTTGCACACCGGGCATGCTTTCATGAGGCTGCTTCGTCAAGTGCCCTGTGGTGATGGCGCTGGAGTGGGGCCTGCGAGAACAGCTGGGACGCCCGACTCCCCGCTTTCCAAACCGTGACCCCTGGAACTGTATTTGGTGCGGAGTGTGTGGGCATGGGCTGGTCCAGTCCTTGGGGCTCTGCCCGCCTGCCCCCCTCCTGCCTGACGTCCGGGCGGTGTCCACGTCGCCCCAACTTGCAGAAGGAAGAGGAGCGCCTGCGAGCGTCCATCCGCCGGGAGTCACAGCAGCGCCGCATGAGGGAGAAGCAGCACCAGCGTGGGCTGAGCGCCAGCTACCTGGAGCCCGACCGATACGACGAGGAGGAGGAGGGCGAGGAGTCCATCAGCCTGGCTGCCATCAAAAACCGCTACAAAGGCGGCATCCGCGGTGAGTGTCTGCCCGGGCCTTGCTTGCTGGCTGTGGCTTTGTTTCGGTGCCGGGCTCCATGGTCTCCAGGCCGTGTCCACAGTACCCGACTGCAGTCCTCCTGGGGACACTGGGGGCGGAGCGGCTGCTGCCCTCCTGCTAGGCCCCTCCTCTGGCTTCTGCTTTCTGCTTGAAGGTTTGCCAGTAGTCAGATTTGAACTTTCTCACGTTTGTTTTGGTACTAACCAGAAGCCACGAAATTAAATTTTTCGGAGAACAGGTTTCATTCCTTGCTCCTGCCATCTTTTCTCTAAGCTGTGCTGCAATTGCTCCCGATCTCGGTGGGGACAGTTTGTAGGGGTGGCTTTTCTACATCACTCTGGACATCCTGCCTGGCTGCCACATGGTGTTGTCACGGCTGCTCTTAGTGACTTTGCTCTTTCTTCCCAGTTCTGGGGATTGGACCCAGGGCCATCACACTGTGCTACAGCGTTAGCCCTTTTGAAACATGGAAATTTTGAGACAGGATCTCACTAAGTTGTCCCATACTGGGTTCAAACTTAGCCACTCAGTGCTGGGATGGCAGGTGGGCCACTACGCCGGCTGGTCTGTTCTTGTTGAGGAGACTTGAGGCTTCCAGAGGCTCGGTAACTTGCCCGAAGACAGGTGGTGGTAAGTGGCCAGATCTGGCACCGAATTGCTGTGTTTTCTGTTCTGCCCCGGGGTCCCACCGGCCAGCAGCAATACAGTGTGTGTGAGGGAAGTGTGCACTGGGCACGGTGGACCCTGGCCAGCCTGCCCTCAGCCCCGTGCTGCTCCGCTGAGTGGCCCAGAGGTTCTGTGACCCTACTGGCCTGGGCCATGCGTCTGTGTGGTTGGTTAGGGCCTGAATGACGGGGCATCTGCGGTCCTGAGCCAGAGCCTGGTGCCGAAAAGTGGCTGCTGCCAAAGCTGCTGAGAGTCACTGTCCTCTCATCAGCCTTGGTGGTGACTTCCCATGTCTTCACTGGCACCTGTCTGTGGCTGGGGCCTGGGCCACCTGCCTCTCGGCAGCTCTGGGAGTCACAGTGACTCTGCCTGTGCCCCTGGACCAGCCATGCACCTGGTTTTGTCCCTGTTGAGAGGCAAGATTTCCTTTCTCTGAGCACCCTACTGCATGAATGCACGCCCTCCTCGGTGTCCTGCGGTGACCACACTGGCCCTCTGACCTGTGTCCCTCAAACATGCGTTCTTTACCTGTGGACCGCATTGTGGAGCGGGTTTTCTGTCAGCACTGATTCCCGCAGAGAACGGTAGTTGTGCAGTTAGAGGTGACGGAGCATTACGGCTGCAGTGGAGATGAGAGGAGCCTGACCGGCCACTGGGTCTTGTCGTCCTCCATGGGTGGAGCTCCAGCAGTCCGGGCCTGAAATAGGACATTCAGAGTTGCTCATGTCCTCTGCGCAGGGGGCGCTGGAACTAGCACGCGACCGGTTCCTGTGCTTGCTTTCAGAGGAGCGTGCCAGGATCTACTCCTCAGACAGTGACGAGGGCTCGGAGGAGGACAGGGCGCAGCGTTTGCTCAAGGCCAAGAAACTCAACAGTGATGAGGTGAGGCACTCAGGCCCTGAGCCGGGTGCGTTGGGGCCAGGGCCGGCAGGGGCTCCCTGAGGTGGTGGCACGTTTGCGACGTGTGAGCTGTTGGGGACGGAGTCCTCGTCCGTGAGATGTTTACTCCCCAGCAGGCAGAGGCGGTGACGTGGTTTGTCCTCTGTGTCCTCACCAGTGACTCCTTTCTTCCCTGAGCCCTGAGGCCTACAGAGCTGCCTGTGGCTTGCAGTGGCAGGCATGTGACTGCCCACGTCCCGCCCTCCCAGCCAGGCCTCTCCGTCTACCCCGGGACGGGTGGGTGGGATGCGGGCAACAGGGGCCGGCCCTCTCCGTGGAGCTGCCGGCCTGTGTCCCGTGCGGCCACTCTCTGCGGGGAGTGTCCACCGTGCCTGGCCGCACCGCGAGGTCCGGCTCTGCTTGTCCTTGGACTGGGCTCCGTAGTTACAAGCTCTGCCATGATGGCACCGTGGGAGGCTATGGCGCCCAGGGATTTGAAAACTGGTCTTGACTTTGAGCCTTTTAACTTTGGGGCTTCTGTTCATCTAGCGAATGTTCTCACTGAAACAGCTGTGGAGTTTCCAGAAAGCTCACGGTTGCTTTTGAGAGACCATCCTAGCAATGTTGTTTTGACTTTTAGATTTTTAAACATTTTTATTAGTACACATTTGCAGTACACAATTACATTCATCATGGGTTGACTTAAATTTTTTTTCTTCCCGGTACCGGCGATTGAACTCAGGACCCTGTGCTTGTGAAGCAGTTGTGGTGCCGCTGAGCTACATCCCCAGCCCTAAATTAATGTTTAGATTTTTAAATGCCTATTTAGGAAGGCGAGCCGTCTGGAAAGAGGAAGGCGGAAGATGATGACAAGGCCGGTAAGAAGCATAAGAAGTACGTGATCAGCGACGAGGAGGAAGAGGACGATGACTAGGTGCATAGCATGGGCCTTCGTGTATGGACTGTACAGTTGTTTTATAAATATGTAAAGATGAGCTATTTTGATTGAAATGAATTGATTTGCATTTGCATAGTCCCCCCCAGGGATTGAACTCAGGGCATTGCACTTATATGGCAGGTAGAAGAACCACTGAGCTAAATCCCCAGCCACATTTGTGTAGTTTTAATTGTAATAAAAAACCTTAAAAGGCAGCCTGTATCTGAACAAGCTGGTTTTGTTGCCACCTCGCGTGAAGGGACTTGCTGAGTCCACTGCCCCCTGGCCCATCCCCGATGTGCTCTGGTGTGGGTTTGGGGCACACACACGTCTCTGAAGTCCCTGAGCCTCCCTGTCCTCCCCACCTGTGGTAGCACCCGGCTCACTGGCTGGTGGCCAGAGCCCGCACTATCCACGTCTTCCTTCCTCCGCCCTCCACACTCCCTCTGTAAGGACAGTCACTGGGCTGCCTGGGCCCTGCGCCCCCTCCTGGCAACATGCGGCAGGAATCCAGCAGCCACACAGTCACCCCGAGGCCCTGAGTGGACGCAGTTCCCATCCCGCTGCAGTGCTGGACACAGAGCAGTGCAGTCCACGATGGACAGTGTCGAGTCTACACAGGACGGAGCCTGCACTGGTGTCATGGGGAGGTGAGTTAGTCGTTCAAGGGCAGGGTGGCTCCTTTTCAGAAATGACCTTTATTATGCTTTGGTTTTGATCTTAAAAATACCGCCTTGCAGGGCTGGGCTGCGGCTCGGTGGCAGAGCAGGGGCTCGGGGCTGGTCTGTCACCGGCACTGAAGGAAGCACTGTGTATACTGCCGTTCTCGTCCTGGACGCAGAGACATGGATCCTTTCATTTGTGAGCAAGGTGAGTGTCGCGCTGTCACTCCCATCCTAGCCGCAAGCCCCAGAGCTGTCTCTTTATATTGTGGCACCCTGTGTGGCCCAGAAGCAGAAGCTGCACAGCCTCTTTCCTTGCAGGGCTCCGCATTCAAAGGGGCATTTGACTCCGGCCTGGTGTCATTTCCATTTGCTCAGAAATCAGCCCAAATGTGTGATGTGTCTTGATCTTCCTCCCCACACACCTCGATTCTTCTCAGGGAGAATTAGAGTTTGCAGAGTTTTGTTCTTAAGACAAGGTCTTGCTGTGTCGTTCCCACTTTCTTCAAAGCCATGGTGATCCTCCTGCCTCAGCCTCCTGACGGCTGCAATCACAGGTGTGTACCACTAGGCCCTGTGATGGTGTTTTTCTTTGTGCACTAATCTTGTCCTTACTGTGAGCGCAGCTGGGCATCACCCAAGGCCTGCCCCATAGAAAAGTGACTTCGAGGACAGACCCAAGTCACTGTAGGTCACTATCGACTCTTCTGCACCTGTCTCCAGTTTCTGAGAGACTCTGCTGTGCCCATCCCTCCAAGGCAGCAGTCTTGGGATGTGTGCGCATGCGCCTGTTTCGCTGGTCTGCAGACACCTATGTGTCAGCCCTAGGCTCCAGCCTCCATCCCCAAACCTGTTTTTCTTACTGTGTGCCCAGCCAGGACCCTGGGCACAGAGGCCGCCACTGCCTTCCTGCCATCTTGAACTCTCAGCCGCCCGTGTGGGGCCCTACAGAGGCCAGGCGAGGCCTTTCAGTAAAGACTGGTTCAGTGCACCTCCTCTTCCTGTGTTGCTGAGCCCTGGGTACGGGGGGCCTTTGCATTTCCTGCCATCTCTGTGGTGCCGGAGTTCTGCTTCTGTTTTGGTAACCTTGCTGTGATTTTCAATCTAATTTGATTTGTGTGAAGTACTACATTCTGCTGGGCTTGGTGGTGCATGCTTGCAATCCCAGCACTCAGGAGGCTGAGGTGGGAGGATCATTGCAAGTTCTAGGCCAGCTTGGCTTCCATAGTGAGTTCAAGGCCAGCCTGAACTATACAGGGAGTCCTCGTCTCCAAAAACAAAGCAAAACAATCTGACCTGATGGCGTCAACAAAAAAATAAAACACGTTTTTGTGTTTTGTCTTTTTGGTACCAGGGATCAAACTGGGAGCCTGTGCTTATGAGGCAGGCGGCAGCACCACTGAGCTAAATCCCCAGCCCTAAAACATGTTTGATAAAATGTTTAAAATACTCAATTCTTTGCACAGACAGTGGGTGTTTTCTCCCTTTACTGACCTAAAAGCTGCCTACCACCTAGAAGCAAATCTCAGGCTGGTTCCCTCTGGGGAGTGGGGAGCACAGTGGTCTTGTGGGGGATCTGGGGGGGCCCCTAACCATGGGGCTGTGGTGCTGAAGAGATGCAGGCTTCTGTGGGCACCACAGCACATCCACATTCAGCCCACACTGCAGCCGGAAAAGGGTGCTGCCACGACGGAAGTAACTGAACAGCAAGAGCCGCGATTGTGCAGTGGCCCAGCAGCCTTGCCCAGTCTGCAGGAGAGAAGGCGCTGCTGAAGGACTGAGAGGGGCCGGGGACTAATGTGTCCCTCCCAACCTTCCCACTGCTCTAGTCCTCACTGTGATGGCACTTGGGGCGAAGCTTGTGGGAGGAACTGGGGCTCATGTGACAGGGTGCGCGCCATGACAGGACCAATGACCTCAAGAGATGACGCAGGCCAGGGCTCAGCTTGGGCTCTCAAGCACAGCAAGATGGCGCCGCCTACGCCAAGAGTCCTCAGACGGAATTTGGGTGGCCACCCTATCCTTGGACTTCAGAACTGGAGTGTGCCTCAGTGGGTCAGGCCCTGCAGCCTGGGCTGTTGTCAGGACAACCTCGGGGAGATGGGGATGTTGTCCCATTGGGGCCTCTCCTGTTGCAGACCCCTCTTGGTCTGAGGAAACTGGTCCCTGTGGTGACTAAAGGGCCATGCAGGGCGGCTTCCATCTCCAAACCTCCTCAAGGAGGCCCTCCATGGGAAATTCACTTCAGCAAATCAAGTTCAGTTACAAAGTCTGAAGGAGGAATTACAAGGCTTTGTCAGAGTAGGGGAAGCCCGGGAGAGCCTGGAGTCTAAGACAGGAAAGGAAAAGAACAGTAGAAAGCGAAATGTTTCACCGCTTCAGGGTAGCCAGGACAGCCCAACCAAGACACTCAGGGAAGAATGTCTCATAAAGACACTGCTGCTGCATCTCTCTTCCGGTTGGTAGAGCTGGAGATTGAACCTAGGGCCTTGATGAGCTACAGGCCCAACCTTTTTTATTTTGGGACTGCATCTTTCTAAGTTGTCCAGGCTGGGCTCGAACTTGTGATCTCGTGCCATTATGCCCAGCTTTCTGGGCACTTAGAAGTAGTCAGATAACCTGAGAACCCTTCTAATCTAAGTCATTTCAGTGTGTGTGAAAGTTTATTTACTCCCAATGAAACATCATAAAAACTGGCTTTTCAGGGCTGGGGATTTAGCTTAGCGGTTCGGTGGCCTGCCTTGCAAGGGCAAGGACCCAAGTTCAATCCCCAGTACAAACAAACAAAAAAATAAACCCAAAAAACTGGCTTTTCAGGGTAAGTTGTACAGTGGAAAGAAACATCATTCACAAGAAGAAAAGCACAGGAACAAGATGTCATCACCTTTAGCCGTTCCAACAAAATCGAGGGTGAAAGCCAGGGACTAGAGAGGCAGGCAGACCTAGGATGGAAGGCAGAGTGCCTGCCATTTCGAGGGGCCTTGGTAACAACATGGGCAAGGCTGCCGTGGGACTGGCAAAGGAGTGAAGATGGTGGCGGCTTCATACCTGGCTATACAGATTCCCACCAAAGATGCCAGCCCCAGCCCTGCACAGGTGGCCTGGCATGTAATCAGGTGAGGCTGGGCATGGCTTCATCCCTGCAGGAAGACCTGGCCACATCACTGACCTGGCATGTGCTCTGGATGCCTGTTCTGTAGGTTTGTTCAGTGGGTGTGGGTGACTAGGGAGGGCCTCCTCCCAGATGGCCTGTCTTGGGCTGTGCCACTTCCTGTCTGCTGCCCCCGTCAGGTGGGACCCATACTGGCAGTGCAGAAGTCACTGCCCACAACTCTAGGGGATCACCAGTAATCCCTGCATCACTCTTGGATGCTGGAGGTCAGGGGTGAGGTCTCTGAGGCCTCTGGGTCCTGAGGCCTGCTGGAGTCTTGTCTCCTCACACAGGAGCACCGATCCATCGCCAGGCCCTGACATGAATGCCACCCAGCACTGGTCACCCGCCACAGGCCCCATCTCTCTGGGGACGTGTGTTTGGGGGATACTGTAGTCCACATCAGGGAGACAGGGCGACTTAGGAGTAACAAGCTTGGAGGAAGTGGCAAGAAATGGACAGCAGAACACAGGAACTAAAGGCATGCTTGCTTTTGCAGTCTACAGAGCTGCATGTGGCAGTGCTTGCCTGTAATCCCAGCACTCTGGGAGGCTGAGGTAGGAGGATCATGAGATCCAGCCCAGCCTGCACAACTTAGCAAGAACTTGTTTCAAAAATAAAAGGGCTGGGCAGGTCCTAGGTTCAATCCCCGTGCTGAGAAAAATCTACGATATTTGATGTTTTATTGAAATTATTTGTTCCAATATATAGTGGTAAGTTTCAACTGCCTACAGTATGTATTTTTCAAAAGAACTCCACTGTGCTGTTATGAAGTGGATGAATTATTTTACTATTTAAATGTCAGTGTTATAAAATTCACTTTTATACTTGTAAAGCTGAAAAAACCCAGAGTTTAGGATTTACTGGCATTAGAAAACCTGCTCCTTTACCCGACTCCATGTGACAGCCAAACCCCATGACATCTCAAAGGCTAGAAAAGTGGGAATTTGTCTGAAGTCACAGAGGTTTTATGCTTTGTGCACATAGTTTTAAAAAACAATCTAAGCAGACAAACATCTAGAACAACAGAATCAAAAACTTATTTTTCAGCCTGGTGCAGTGGCACATGACTGTAAAGCTCAGCTACTCACAAGGCTGAGGCAGGAGGACTGCTTGAGCCCAGAAGATCCAAGCCAGCCCACAACTGAGCAAGACCCTGTCTTAAAAAACAAAACCCAAAACTCTTCTAGCACAGATGAAGTTTAAATTCTTAAAAATTGCTGTGTCTACCCACCAAGAAGCACTTAGAATTTGTACTTAAGCTTTACTGTCTGAATGTATAACCCACAGTAACGGGAAGGTTTTATGTCAGTTAGTTGTGCTGCGTTAATTAAAACACAATGACATTCTGCTGTAAGAACAACAAAACTTCTACACTGTGAGGGTGTGGGGTGGTCATAAGCGTGTGAACTTGCTAGTTACATCAACACAGCTTTTGGTATTTCTTCGTGTGACAATCTGTTTTTAATCTAAAGCTGCTGTTTTAAATGATTCCTTACAAGCTAAAGAAGCCTTTCTAAAATACACAGTCATGGCTGATAGTCGCTCATCCAGTGATGCATTTTTCCTTATGCAGTAACCCTGAGGTTAGCGCCTCTCAAATGGCCCATTTTATGCAAAGTGGAATTTAAAATTAGTAGCATACTATACATGTTTTATTATAAAATCTCCTGCCAGGTGAGGTGGCTCACCTGTAATCCCAGCACTCAGGAGCCTTGAGGCAGGAGAGGACTAAGTTTCAGGCCAGCCTGGGCAACACAGCAATACCTCTCCTAGAACAAGCCTCAAGTAGTTCGGTTTTTATAGAGAAGGACTTACCGTGTTGAATTACAGTGGAGAGAAATGACTAAGACCAAATTAAAATATGCCAAGACAAACACCGTTGCCTCTGAACATATTTCCTCCACTGAAGGTCACTGGTGGAGAGCTGCCAGGCTGTGCCCGGGGAGCAGGCTCAGGGCAGTACCAAGGGCAGAAAATCAGCATCTGCAGCCGCATCTCTAGGGCGCCCAGTTCCGCCCGGACAAAGTCTGGGCCTTGGCTCTGCGAGGAGGGAAAGGTCCTGGGTTTTGTATGTGCTGCCCAGGCGAGCACAGCTCCTAGAGTATGAGAAGCCGGAAGCCTGGGGACCCGTATGCGGCATGGATCCCCTCACCTTTGTTTTCATGGCAGCAGGGCTAAATACGATGTACAACAGAATACGACTAATACTTCAACAAACTTCCCTGTTACAATTTTTATTGTATCATGGAATCCACTTTTAATGGAAAACACACCCGCTAACTGACAGAGTGGTACAGTTTGTGAAGCTGCTTCGTCCGGAGGCAGGGACGCGACTTCCCCACCGAGATGGCGCCCGGGACTGCTGCCAGGCTGCTGCCACATGAGCGTTTACCTGCTCTTGGGCAGGTGCCTTCGAGAATGTAGACTGTGACTAGGCTTCAGCTACACAGCACCACAATCCATTTCTGTAGTATTCATATTGGCCACTAAAATTGAGCTTTTAATACACACAATTTCATGTAGACACACTGGAAAAATTAGAACCCCAGATAAATATGAATATAAAACTTTATAAAAATGAGTAATTAAAAGCTTTTTTAAAACAGCAATTTAAAACTGCAAAGAATATTCTCTTAAGATAACCAGATACCTTTAAATTGGTTAGACCATAAAACCTAAGGTCTTAGAAAATCTGTGGTTTAAAAATTAAGACTACTTCAAAACCCTAACTGATCTGTCCTACTATAAAAATTTTAGAGCAATCTGGAAATACTGAAAGTTACTAAAAAGTTAAGAGGTGCCTGATTTTTAAAGATCAAAGTAAACACCACTGTTCTCCCTTATAATTACAATTCTTGAGAGATTTTTCTATTCAGCTGATTCAGTGTTCATATTTAGAATTACTTATAAGGAAATCTCGTCTTCAGTTACAGAACGCACTGTAGCGGAGCACGGGAAGAGTGTAAGCAAAATAGCCCAGGCACTCACACTGATGTACAGCAGTGAAGGGCAGCCCCACGTGTGCCGCGAGGTCCCTGCTGAGCCCAGGGCAGCAGGGGGAGGCCAGGCCCGAGTTAGTGGCCCGCTTCCATCCTGTGGCCTTGATGTGTGTCCTGCGACCCCACACCTGCCTGGACTGCACAGGGGCTGGGAAATTCATAGATGTGTGTGAGAAAACGGGAGCAGGCGGGAGAGAAGCATGTGGGTGGGGGCATGGGAAGGAAAGTGAGTAAGGGAGGCCGGTGAACTTGGAAAGGAAATCAGCGGCCTTCCACTGAAGGGGAACAGTGCAAGTTAAATCTCTGGTCCCTTTGAAGCACTGGATACTGACTTCAGAACCCAAACCCATCAGCTTCCTCCGGGAAGCACTAGCCTGTCAGGCTTACCACCATGCTGCACCACAAGCTGCCTGGCTCGGGAGATAAACGCAATGGCCAAAGCCGAAGTAGCAGACAATTATTCAATTTCAAAAGGCTCTTAAAAAACTACTAACAGTGGTTCCACCGCCTGCCTCCCAAGTGCAAGGACCTGAGTTCAATCCTGGTACCCCACCCCTCCAAAAAACTACTAACAGGCTGGGGAGGTGGCTCATGCCTGAGACCCCAGCATGGGGGACATGGTGGTTGGGGAGTCCTAGGTTCAGGTCCTACTGGGGTGACTCAGCAAGCCTGGCTCAAAATCAAAATGGCAGGGGATGTAGCGCAGTGGCAGAGGCCCTGGGTTTGATCCCCAGTGCAACCAACAATAACAACAATAACAAAACAGAAGAATAGGTCTCCCCTCCAATCTGTCTAGGCATGGACCTGGTGGCAGGAGCAGCTCCTATCCCTTTCTTGCCTCCCCCATTGAGAGGCGGGCCGGGACCAGGCTCACAGCACACTGCTGATGACATGAAATGACTTTCATGGTGTGGATTTTAACAGCACAGGATGAAGGCAGGCACACATGGCAGTGCCAGGATCTGATGTGGGCAGTGGTGCTAGCGGCCCTGCTGTCCCCTTGGCATCACAGGCCTAGCAGCAGCTCACCCTCTTCTACCCTCAGTAGCAGACCTGGCTGTGCCTTTCACTAGGGAAGAAAACGGCTATCAGACGCCTGTATAAAATGTAATAATGCGGTATCAAAGTGGGGACTATAACAGACGTGACTGCACTCAGACCAAGCATGCAGCCTGGCAGCGCCCATGCTGGGGGTGAGTGTGCGTCCCCACAAGAGGGCAGCCTGGCTCCTGAATTCCACACTGAACCATCAGTTTTTAAATTTGGGTATTTTGTTTCTTTCATAAAGAAAAAACATACCCTTGCCAAGTTCATGTATTTTAAAATGTGGAAAGGTCTCCAGGTCATGAAATAAAAAGCTTAAGACCTTGTACCTGGAAGAAGCAACAGTAATTTTCTATCAGCAGTGTCCCTTTTGGATTTTAAAAACATTGGTCCTCAAAATGCTGAAATTTTCCTGCGTGACTTCTGAAACACTGTTATAATTGTACTTTTTGCCCAAGATTCATTATAAATCATTTACTTAAGCTGACACAAAAAAGATTCTAGTAGTGGAAATGCTTCAAAATATAAAGAATCATCTACTGTTGATTTACAATTTGAAATCGATAACAACTTAAACTAGGAAAACGACGTATGTTAAAAAAAAAAAAAAAAAAATTTCCAGTCTTTCCC